CAATTGGACTTCACACTAGGTTCCCAAAATCTGCATTTTCAACCATGAAAACGTCCCAGTTTTGAATAGAATTTGCACAAAGACCCTCAAAGGTCACAACATTGAAATTAACTAGGAAAAAGACACAATTTGACTACTCTAAGGGTGAAAATACCCTTGAATTGATGCCCATAAGGCATCAAAATGCAGAGTTATCAGTTGCCATAGCGTTTTGAGTCTTGATGCTAGAGATATTTGAGTAAATTTTATGCCAGTGTTTTTGAACCGTTGTTGACCCGAATGATTGGACCGTTCAGCCCAGGAACACCACTTAGGCAACCGGTTCTATTTCACCCTTAACTCGTTATTTGGCCAAAAACCATCAACGTGGTTAGCAATCCGTTGATTCGGGTAGTCGAACCATCGACTTGGACACCAATTTTGATTGTTTTTTTATTTTAATTATATTTTTTATTTTGAACGGGCCATCTATTTGAACCGGGCAATCAAACTACTATCCAAAAATTAGTGGCCAAAATGATTTCAATTCAGGGTTAGTTTTTAAAACATTGGTTTAGGCTCCTGCGAACAATTATGATGCTTTTACCCATGGTTGAAAGGGCAATAGGGCACTATACATAAAAAAAGGGAAAACTTAAAGAAAGGACTATGCACACTTAAGTTTATAAACCTAAATGTTTTTTTTTTTTTTAAGTAAAACCTAAATGTTTAAAGTTAAAGCAAAATATGTGCACAAAATTCGTCAGTGGGATTAGTTGATGGGTTTTTAAACCTCACATGGTTAAAGACCCGTTGTCCAATGGTTAAAGACCTGTTGCCCAATGGTTGAAGACATCAATATATTTAGATTGTTAAAACAAAAAAAAATATTTAGATTATCTATATGTATATAGATGCATGTATTAGATTATATAAAGGAAAGATTCTATTTGGTAAACGCATAGCAGTTGGCCATAAAATCCTTTTGCTATATATATATATATAAATATTTACATTATCTTATATGTATATAGATGCCTGTATTATTATATAGAAGATTCTATTTGGTAAACGCATAGCAGGTGGCCATAAATCCTTTTGCTTTTAGGTTATATATATATATGTATATATTGATTAGATATGTTATTGGTGAACCCAAGAATAGAACTGTTAATTCTCATTTTATTGATTTTGTTTTTTTGTCTTCATTTACAATACTTGCCACCTGTTCCTTTTGTTGATATATTTCTTCCATGATATTTTGTTTTATACTATCTTCTAACTGAGATCAATCAGTTTGATGATAAACACAGGTAGAATGGATGTGAAGGATCTCTAAAAACCTCTAGTGAGAGGAATCTGACAAGCCCATGAAATTGAATAGAAGAGGAGAATACAAAACAAATAAAAAATAGATATTATAAGACAATATGGACGTCGGGCTAGTAAGGTCGTCTGGTTGAGGTTTTCATGGTTCCCGTAGGAGTTGATGGCCAACAAACTATAGAAACGCCCTCGCAGGTCAGCATTGTCGAGGTGACAAAGTGTTTGTAGGCCGAGGTGTTGGGAGCGAACTGGCTTGTTAAAATTTCAAGGATCTGACTAAGCACTTTGACGACCTAGACGAGATGACTTGCGACACGTAATCAGCCTAGATGAGCCTTGCTAGACCTGTTCGCGAGGTTTCCCCTATAGGTTGAGCCATTGCATCCCCTTAGAATTCGATTGGGTCAGGTTGCCAAAGCGGTTACTCATAATTTTGGCTATCAAAACGATGCCAAGATGCCGAACTGTCGATATATCCCAAAGCCGGCATAGGGGGCCTTAGTTAAAAGCGGTTTAGCATTCCCTTAGTAGATGATGTGTGCATAATTTACATATAAATTATGATATTTTATGCATGATTTTGGTGCTGATTTGTGTAAAGTTTTACCCCAATTCAGCTTAATTTCAGGAAATGATCAAGGGAGACCAACTTAGGAGAAAGAGAGCATAAAACCAAGAAAAAGGTGCTAAAGTGAAGCATTTCAGCCCAGTTGGAACAAAAGCCCAGCTGAGAGATCAAAGGAGGGTCATTCGGCCCATGCAGTCCATGTTGTACTCTTTGGGAGTTGCCCAAAGAGAGAGCCTAGCCGCAACCTTCCAAGAGAGCCTATTCGGCCCAGCAAGGAGGAGGCCCATTTGCAGCTCAAGGGCAGCCCAAAGTGCAGCCCAAGGAGCCTAAAGGCGGGAAACTTTCTAGAAGAGAGAAAGGAGGCAAACAAGGCTAATCGGGTAATTATGGACAGTTTCAGCATCGCATAGTAATTTGGGCATAACTCCCTCATCTGGACTCTGATTGAGATGATTCAAGATGCGCTGAAAAGAGAAGGAAAAGTTCTAGAACTTTCATGTTGTGAGTTTTGATAGAAACGGACTGAATCGAGGTCAAAATCGAGCCTGAATTATCTGAAACCGCACTACAGAACTTTCTAGATGAGAGAACTTTCTAGATGGGAGAACTTTCTAGATGAGAGAAAAGGGTTGAAGAGAAGGCTATAAAAGGAGAAGAGAGCTAACGGAAAGGGGGTCAAAAACCTTTTGGGGTGAATTCCTTTTGGGGAGAAGAGAAAGATAGGTGCAAGAGAGGAGAAGAGAGGAGAAGATTCAAGAATATTCAAGAGAAGAAGAAGCTGATTTTGAAATTGGAGAAGAAGCCATTGGGGGAGATCAAATCTAGGTTGTCTTCTTCCTTGATTTCTGCACAAGTGATAATCGAATTCAGCTAGGGATTTCATGTTTATTTTCTCCATTGATTCAATATTTCTTACTGTAATTGAATGATGTTTCATGTAAATTCATATCTGTAATTAGTTCTCTAGCGTTATTCGAATGGATTAGATTCAATTTTGATGTTTCTTAATTAGAAATTCAACTGTAGAACTGTTAGTCGAGCTGCTATTCTGTAATCTCAGATCTGTAATTTCAGATCATGAACTTGTAAGGTCTGAATTGCTATTTTGTAATCTCAGATCTGTAATTTCAGATCATGAAATTGTAATATCTGAATTGTTTGAGAGAGAAGTCATGTAACTTTAATTCAGTTTGGCCGATTTGTTCCTTGGAAATCCTAGAATGCTTGAAAAAGACTCTAAGATTTCAGATCTGCTAATCAAGAACCGAATTGAGTGCAAGGTTAGAGATAACTTGCACAATTCGGTTGGTGATCATTCAAATCTGAAATGATGCCCTAGAATTTCTAGATCTTAATGCATRCATRGGGATTAGATTCWTGCTAGAGATARAAGAATCATCACTCATGCATAGAATGAACATGCACTTGAGAGAGGCTGTTCATTGCCTTGGGGTTTCACCAAACCAAGGTCGAACCCTAATCTAATCGAATAACCTAGAGATCTAATTACTGAATCAATTCTGTGCATAGTTAGCTTATCTTCTCATTTTGCTTGCAAGGTGTTTGATCAAATTTGTTAGAGCTGGTTTGTTTGATAGAAATTCAGTTTTTGATTATGTTAGTATTTCGGTTAATCAGATAATAGATGGCTGATATATTATTAGTAGTTGTTGTATAAGTCCTCGTGGGAACGATACTCTATTCGTCACTCTATTATTTCAACGACTAGTGCTCTTGGTAGTGTCACCAAGACGCACCAGTAGATTTTCGTCGACGTGCACGTATTGCGATTTAGCTCATCCGGGTTGCCAAAGCAGTTATAATTTCATCCGTCAAAACAATGACGAGCTAGATAGATGGGGGTTGACCTGCATGGGGCGGACTACCTGTTGCCGACGCGTTTTGAGGTCGACTTAGGGGCCTTGATGCTGAAAGTGGCTTTGGCTTCCCCTTAGAGTTCAATTTAACCAAGTCACCAAAGCAGATGGTCATTCTGTAGTAGCTTTAAATGCGGTTGCATCTATGCCATCACGTAGGATTGACTCTCTTGGGTCTACGTTCACAAAACAATGGAACACATGTGCTACTCTGCTCCTAGAACTACTGGCTATCCACTCTAAGAGCCATGGGGGGCTCACCTTGAGGGGATTGATCAATTGTCTATGGGTCACCTACACTCGCGAGAGCCATGAAAAGTTTGACCTATGAGGCTGGTTCTACATTCAGCTCATTGCCCACACTCACGAGAGCCATGGAAGACTCGATCAATTGTGAGGCTCTATAGTTGGGTTGGGAGACAATCTGGGCCAGACCGCTGAAACTCGCCTGGGCTGGTCGTTTAGTTTTTGCCCCCTTGTGATAGCGTCGTTGATGCATGCATCACTATTGGCATTTGAATGGTGGGTTGATGCCACGGCTTCACTGCATCTAGCGGTTCCCACAGACGACGCTAATTGATGATGTGCGATTTGGTGCTCTCTGCTGGAGAATAGTTTGAACATAAGACTAGTGAGGTTGCCTAATCAAATTGCAAGAAGATAAGTAGAATGTTATTAGGTCAGCGGAGGGCCAAATCTGCCCTCATGAATATGTATTAGTTGATTTGAAATTTCTTTGAATTACATATAGAAATCTAACGGAGGAAGAGATTGCCAAACACCTCAATTTTCACGAACCAGAAACACGATTCCTGTTCCAGTTCCTAAAAGCACAAAAGCAAGCATGAATAATTCCAAACGGAGCCTTAAAGACACGAAATCCCTAATTTTCTCACGTGGTTTGCTGTTACTCTCAGGCCATTGGTAGAACGGATAAACGAGCGTCCACCTCACATCACATGGAGGGTATTTCCGGGCAATCGGAATAACTTAACGGTAAAATTTTCAAACTGGAGCGGAAGGAAATGGAGTTGGGCCTTCTTTTTTTCATTGCAGCGTGAAAGGACTGCCATTAAAAGCCAATTAAAAAGAACAGAAAAAAAAGATTGCCACTTGCCAGTAAATGAAGGCGTCGGAGAGGAGGGAAGCTTCAAAAAATACACGATTCGATCCAGCAGCTAACGAAGCCAATTCCCTGAACGAGAATTGATTCGTTTTCCAAATCAAATTCCATTTTTACTCGACTCAGATTGATCATATGGAGATGGACAGATTGAAGAGAAGTTAAAGTTACACAGTATCAGACCCAAAACTATATACAGATCGCTAAAGATCTTTTCTTCTTTCTTTTTTACAGATATATCCATCCAATCAGACCTGTAAACAAACAAAAAGAAACGGCTAGAAACAAAATGGCAAAATAACGAGCAATTGTTCATCTGAATGATCAGAAGCACCAAACAAGCACTAATGACGAAGCCATGCCAGTCAAACCCAACTGAGGATTTTCCAAAACAATATCTGTAGATTCGTGGCAACCCCATTCCTCTGTTGCAAAATGTTCCTGATAAGACCATCGATGGCGGAAATTGGAACAAAACAAAACCCACTAGCGCCAGGAAGAAACAGTGAGAAGGGGGACGTCATTCCACAAAAGCGAAAGAAACCCAGGTGGTGATTCCATCAGAGAATACATAGAACTGTAACTATAATTCCAAAGGAGGATCTTAGCCTGGCTAATGGCGTAATGGCTAAGGGCCACCGATTGGAACCCACAACCTTCCATCCAAGCCTTCCATTGCCCCTTCTCCTCCATTCTTTCCCGTTTGATCGAACCTTCTTCACCTTCTTCTGGTCCAATCACACCAGCGATCCGCCTACCAAGTAGCAACCTTTCGACCAGGAGCCTCTGGGCAGAGTCTCTTGCCATGCCTGGTTCAAGCGACTCGTAAACCGCCGTGTAGTACCGCAACGCAACCTTAAACCGGTTGAGAAAATCGACCCGGTTCAACCCCGCTTCGTACTCCCCGAGCGTCACGACCTTGGGTTTCAGAGATTTTGCCAATCGCAGAGCCCTCTCGACGGCAGCTGGTGTCTCGTCCAACAGGTTATACAGCTGAAGCACGAAATTGACCGCCAAAACCTCATCCATGTCAACTCGGAAACTCGACTCCTCAAGTTCCTCAATTGGTGTCAAGATAGATTCGAACTCAAAATTTAGATCGAGAACTTTGGCGAATTCCCGTAGACGATTACCGGTGGCCACCAGAGAATCCCCCGGTGATTTCCCAAGAGCGGGAGCGGGAATTCCAGAGATTCGGATTCTGGAAGGTTTCCCGGTGGACCGAGTGGCCAGAGCTTGGAAGAGTGCCGCCCATTGAACTCCTTCGACGATTCCAAAGTCCACGATGTGTATCCGACTCGCCGTCTCAGTCGCTTCGAGTATCGCCTGGTTCGCCGTTAAATGGGCAAACTTCGAATAGGGACAAGCGTCGTTTAAAGTTTTAGACAGTGTAAAATCTTGCGAACAAGTCTCAACGGTAGACGCGGTTCTCCCAGCTTTTGTAGAAATCCGATTGTAAAGAGCTTCGGCGAAATAAAATGCAACTCTTTCCGTTGGATCGCCGTGTTCGGAAAATGACTCCCGGAGTCCGATCAGTGGCTTGACGGCGCGTTCGGGCTCGGAATCGGCCACTCGGGCACAGTCCAGGAGGGAGTTCAACAGCTGCGACGCGGACTCGGTTTCATCAGGTGAAGGAGCATAGACACCACTGGCATCATTTCCCCTATTTATTGCTGGCGGATGAGTCGCTGTTGGGGAGTCATCAGGTAGCGGCGGAAGTGGTGGAGCTGGCGGCAGAGGGGCGCACGTCAAAGCTTGAGTTTGGAGTGGTTTGGGAGTTTTCTGGGTATCTGAGAAGACGAGTCGATTGAGGTCGGACGGTGAAGGAACGGAGACGTTGAGCCGACCGGAGCAGGCAACGAAGGGATCGCCGCCATAGAGAGAGTAGTCATGGTTGGCGTGCCATGTGTCGCAGACGGATGGAAGCTCCGAGCTCTCCGTCGACTCACCACCAGCCATTAAACTGTCCATCCATTCGTCCGAGTCGAACTCGTCACCGGTATTTCCACCCAAATCAGAGAACCTGAAGTCGGTCGAGTGGTGCGGGTCGTCCAAGTGTGGAAACGGGAGCATGGTGTCCCCGGTATCTGAAGTTCCGGCGACGGGAAAGGAGTCATAGAAACCAGCGCCGAGACCATATCCAAAGGATGGAGGATTGTTAATGGTTTGATGGGTCCCACTCCATGGGTTGAGGGGGGAGAAAGTATCGACGCCTACGAGCTGTTGCTTCTGCTGCTGTTGTTTTTGCTTGATGACTTGTTGAGCGATCGCCATTAGATTTCCACTGTCAGTGCACATGTAAGCCATTCTCCGGCGAAATGGTCGCCCGGAAAGACAGCTCAGTGTATCAGACTATCGGATAAAGACAATAACGATGGAGTGGCCTTCTTTATGTATTCAATCGCATACAGATGAGATCAATGGTAAGTGGATGTGATTGAATCTATTTTTCTGTCTAGCAGGATTGAGTGATGCATTGAACAACAAAATAAATGAGATGGAGTTGTGGGCTTTGTTTAGATAGAGTCGGGAGGAGAGAGAAAGCAATCTTTCACCTTTTTCTCCCCGAAAAAGAAAGCCCCAAAAGAAAGTGATTGCGCTCAGAGAGACGCTTTTCGTTTTCGACAAGTCCGTCGCCTGGCCTGCTGGACCGAGAGAGAGAGAGAGAGAGAGAGAGAGAGAGAGCTATGTAAATTTGTAGCTTCAACTGATTTTCGAGTTTGAAACGAAAGAAAGAATGTCAGTGACTAGTGTGAATGTGTGAATAGTAATAGTTTGGCTTTGAGAGATGGGAGGAGTGGTTTGGGTTTGAGAGATGGGATAGGTTGGTTTATTTATGTTAGAGAGAACCCAGTCTCAGAGACCAGAAGCAGCAAGATCAGGGGCCCACAGTAAGAAGCCAAAAACCAATAGGTCCCACCTACCCCTTCATTTCACCGGTTCTGAGTTCACACTTACGAAAAGGAAATTAGGAAACCCTACATCTTGGCTACCTCTGCCACGCACTGGTTTTCCTTATTTCCCGGCCCCACTTCTTCTTCTTCTTCTTCTTCTTCTTCTCTCTCTCATTCTCCCCCTTTTTTTACAATCTCACTCATTTAAAGCTGTGTTTGATTTGAAATAAGAAATAGGAAAAGGTAGTACTATCTTTTTCTTTCGAACCAAACACAGCCTAATATGCACCATTCATGACGTGCTTGCTACCCATACTTGACCGTCCACGTGATACCTTCTTGGCCTTCTCCCACATCATCGTGATTAGTGATCTCATGGCTTCGTGTTGCTCTCTGTAGGCTTTTCGAGAAAGGAAAAAAATCTGAACCGTTCGTTTTGGAGATCGAGTGGTACTACGGCCACCAGCAAATTGAAAAAGAAGGGTCATAAAAGAAAAAAAAAAGGCGCTCTCTCCAGTTGTCGTGTGGGTCCAGTTGCCATCTCACCCATTGACGGCGTCCGTTTTTTTTTTTTTTTATTTTATTTTATTTTATTTTTACTCGGTTGATGAGATCTACATTCGTGGCTAGAGAGAGACCAGAACGGGCTTACCGGCTTAGGGCCTAAATTTACACTGTGTCGTATTCAGACTTTGGGCCGGATTTATTCAAATTTTGGCAAAAGACAGGCCCGAACCCGGCCCACGAACTGAGAATGGACTAAGGCGGTGTTCGGCTAGACATATTCATGAGCCAGGCCGGGCTGGGCTTTTTCTCTTCATTAATAGGATTTTTTTAGGCTCGAGCCTGAGCCTGGCCCAACCGACAAGCTTACAACTTAGGCCCGAGCTCGGCCCTCATAAAAAGCCCGAAGCCCGAAGCCTGATAAGGCTTGTCCGGAGTTGAGAAATGCATGACTTGTACATACTATAGACTACGGAGTAATAGAGGTTGAAATGCATGATTTTTACAAAGTTGAGAAATGCAGGACTCATCGCCGGAGAGAGGGGCGACTGAGTTCACTAGTGGTGTGGCTAGCGCCGGTGCCTGAGTTCGCCGGTGCTTGAGTTCGCTGGTTCTTGAGAATATGCGATAGTGAGTGAGAATGAGAACTGCAAGAGAGAGAAAGAGAGAGAAGACTCACCGCCGGAGAGAGACGACTGGTGCCTGAGCTCGCCTGACACCTTTGAGACTAAGAACGGTGGCTACCTGTCTGGGTTCATGCCGGTTCTTGAAAGTGAGAGTGAAGAGAGAAGATAGAAGATGAAAAGAGGGAATAGGAAAGGGTTATTTAGCTAGGGTTTAGAAGAAGTTACAAATGTCGGGCTAGGCTCAGGCCAGGCTTTTGTGACAAATCCCGAGCCCGACCCGGGGGGTCGGGCCGGGCCATCGGGCTACTCGGCCCATGAACAGGTCTATGTTTTGCACCGTGTTCATCTCGTGGATGGGACCATTTCGTCCACGGGATAAACACCAGTTCTACAGACCGGTCCCACCCACACCCCAATTTCTCATCCATGGCAAAATCTCGTGGTTAGGGACCATTCACACTTGATTTTTGATCCCTTACTTCACACTTTCCCTAAAAGGTTAAAACCCTATTATCTGCTTCACATTTTAATATTTTTGCCAATAAAATATTAATTATTTTAATTAATTTATTATTTTTTTTAAATTTTAATGTTTTATCAATAAAATAATATTTAAAATATATATATTTTTTTAAATTTTAATTATTTTACTATTTTTTATAAAAAAATTAATATTTATTGGTTAATATTAATTCATTGATGCATTTCTTCAATATATTTATCATATTAAAATGCAAAAATTATGATTAATTGTGTTAGATCAAGGTTTTCGAATTGCCGTTGACTTGGACTATCGGACCGTTCGGCCCGGGAACAATCCAGGCAAGCGGTTCTGTTTTACCCCAAACCCGATTTTTGACCAAAAATCGTTGAAAAAGTCAATAACCCGTTGACCCAAGCGGTCGACCCGTCAACCCGTTCAATGATTTTTTAACAGCTTTATTTTTAAATACTTTTTACTTTTTAATTTGTTTGTCAAAACTGGTCGTTCATTCAAATCGGACGGTCGGACCATCGACCCAGAAACCAATGGCCAGAACGGTTCCATTTCTGGGTCGTTTTTTAAAATGTTGGTGTAGATCCTTCATAGATGTATATGATATACATGGAATCAAAAAGCGTGGTGTGGACTGGTCTACACCATGCCTACAGAACTAGGAATGGCAACAGGGCAGGGTGGGGACGGGGAGCCTCTCCCCATCCCCATCCCCGCTAACGGAGACAAGGTTATCCCCATCCCCGTCCCTACGGGGATCCCCATTCCCCGTGATTTTTTATAATGTTAACCATTTTGTTTTTGTTTTTTATTTTATTGAAAAGAAATAAAAATAAAATAATTAAAATTTATAATCCCATTAGAAAATATTCAAACATATTCAACCATATTTTTAAAAATATTAATATGTAGATATATGTATATATATATATATATATATAATCGAGGTCCCCGTGGGGCGGAGAGTGCTCTCCCCGTCCCCGCTAACAGGGATGAAAATTTGCCCATCCCCATCCTCGCGGGGGGGAAATCATCTCTATCCCCGCCCCATTCAAGGCGGATCCCCATGGGGATCGGGGAAATGGGGAAAATTGCCATCCCTATACAGAACGCCACTGTGGGTGTGGACTGCTCCAATTCACACAATTTGTCCATAGTTCAGAACAACTATGGACTGTGGTGTGGTGTGGATTGGTCCCTGCCACAGGGTGTGGTGTGGACCAGTCTACACCCACCAATTTATTATCCACATTACAGAACACCCCCTAAATGGTTCGATACTTCGATGGACCAACTGAACCGAAAATGCAAGCAATGTCAAAGTAATGACAAAATCTCGACATTCTAATAACTTGTTGTTGTAACTTATAATCCGGGAATCCCCATGTCGACTTGTGTTGATTGGAAATAACCAAGACCAACACTAATTTCATGATACCGGTTGATTGGAAATAAGTTTTCTCGATATCATACCTTTTGGCTATGTTTGGTTTGAAGGAAACAGTAGGAAAAGGAAGAGAACTACAGGAAAACATATACAAGATTTGTAAAGATTTCCTTTTCTTTCCCTACTTTTTCTTTCAAACCAAACATAGCCTTTTTGGTATCAAAGCCGAATTGTTAAAAGAGAAGAAATTAAAAAAAAGAGGTTTTTATTGTTCAGTCCACCTCAATAAATCTTAACTCTACCGTATAGTTGGATAGGTGCTGACGAGGGGTAACTTGGCCTAACCTGTCAACACTTGGACATATGGATTGACCTGATGACATGGATGACAACTCAACATTCCCTGTCACCTCAGTAAGCCAGGTTAGCTCGGGTACCTTGGGCACCTCAGCCAAGACCAAGATCCAAGCAGCTTGTGATGGCCTAACGAGCTGAGGTGACATGTAGCCAACTTCTGGAAGCTAGCAAGCTGTCTCTGACCTCTCCGGGATCACGCTGCACGTCCAGAAGCCTTATCCTTATCCCGCCTGGATCGAACAAACTTGATAAGCCTTATCAGCTCACACGAAGTCCACCTCCGAGTATGGAACGATTCCTAGTAGCATGGGCCGGGGATTTCAAAGGTTTTTGTAAGACCTGCGACAACTTGCCTATATAAGGGCACTAACCCCAACGTTATAAGGTATGCATGATTATTTGCTCACTAGCCTTCTAGCTTACAAGCCTTCATCTTGCATATATTTACTAACTTAAGCATCAAAGTACCCACACCGAGTAAGCCACCCCAGGTCCTCTGAGTTCACTTTTTTGCAATTCGACTGGCCAACTAAGCGGATTGACGCCCGAGCTGCCCTCCGGCTAGGAGCAACCAAATTGTGCACCATCAATTGGCACTGTCTGTGGGAACCACAACAAAAAGCCAAGTTCCTACTTCTAGTTTTTGAATTCCACACACTCAATGGCATCTTCCAGCAACACTAATAACAAGGACGTTGAAGTACCAGTTACTAAGGGGCAAGAGCGGACCACAGTGAACCCAAAGATTCCCTCCGTAACAATCAGGTAGTTCACTATGCCCTCGACTCTTCCAGTTCTATGAGCTGGTGCAGTATGTAAGGAGCATGAACCTTCAGATACGCGTGTGGGAGGAGAGGTTCAGAGCATTCATGCTATTGCAGTAGCCTCAACAACCCCGGCACCCACCAGCACCCCAGGGCCTAACACCACCCCAAGGCCTAACACCACCTCGAGGTCTAACACCACCTCGGGGCCCAACACCACCTAGGGCCCAACACCACCTCGGGGTCCAACACTTCTCCGGTGTTCATCACCACCCCGAGCCCTTGCTATCGACCAATGGAACAACCATCAATAGAACAATCGTTAGAACAACCAACACCACCATCCCAAAACGATTAGCACCACCGTCCACAGAATGACCAACATGACCGTCAACAAGATGACCCGCATCACCAGCATCCTAATAACCAACAACCTGGTGTCAGGAGCAAGGACTCGGCCTCTATCCGGGAGAATGCTAGGGTCAAGACCCCGGCCTATACAGAGGCGAACAACACGAATGAGGTGACAAAGAAGCAACACCACAGACGCACACGCCGCACCACAACAAAGAGCAGCATTGCACCTACCATGGAGGTCGAAAAGGATAAGAGGGAAGAAGTCAACTTAGTTACTGTGCAGGCAACCTCGACTCCATTGAGTCAGCCTTCCCCATTGGCACCAAAGATCCTCGTATCTCCACGACTGAAGAACTTCAAACGCCCGCCCTTGAGATCTATGATGGAACGAAGGACCCCAACAACCACAACAATAGATTCTAGTCCCTAATGC